CGTGCACAGATGCCCTAGTGTTTTCACAATTGTGTTTATCTTTCAATTACATAGTTATTTATATAGCATATTTGAATACTCATTCTTCGATGTGGGATAATTCCCAAACATCATTAAATGAAAACATAATGTAAATATATACTATTAATAGGCAATTTTAAACACATATGCTAAGGAGGCATGATGGTTATCACTAATGTTATTTGCTTTGACTTCGCAAGTTTGAATTCCCCCTTAGGCTATGTAATAGTTTTTCTCTTCTTGAGCTAATTTTTGTTCCCTTTTGGGCATATAATAAATTAAAGTGTTATTTTCAAAATTTGTACACATTTTAGTAATTTTTACATTGATAATCAAATCTTTTATTTTATTTATTAATTTTTACAGTATAAATCATGTAATGTACTTTTTTTTTTTACAGTTGTCAATAGTACATTTTAAATTAGATAATATTATAAAATATTTTTAATTTGTTATTATTTATCTAATAAAATAATTATAAAATGTAAACTAATAATTATAATTTTAGTATATAATATTATAATTAGTTAGGTTGTAATAATTTTAGATTATAGTTAGTTAAGATGTAATAATTTGGGCTTTTTCAGCGGATTAGGGTTTTTAGCCAAAACGAGATTTTAATGGCCATTCTTTCATTGATTTAGTCTACTCTTTATTATAGTCCATGTATAATTATATATTTTATCCATGAAAATTCAATGATTTTTCTTTTATGTGATGCAAATTTAATACTTAAGTTTATACAGGGAAAGAGCACATCAATATTCACAAATTGATGAAAAAATGAACGTTAATAATGTAGTACTCTCATTTCTTATTGGATTCCTAAAAAACAACATTTATAATTAATTTTAATAATTTTTTCGGATGTTTTTTTGAAGCTTTAATCCGACCGATTCAGTCGATTCCCGATTCGAAACGTCGAATCGTCGATCCGGATCGGTTTTTGAGGTGCCCAATCTAAGTCACCGATCCGCTTTTTAAACCATTGGTTTGAATATATCATATCAAAAGTAGTAGATCTGTCAACAGTAGATATCGAGTCTTCGCCAACTGAAAATACCAAGTTAGCAGCAAAGGAATAGTAGTCCCATAGATCTGTCATTCAATAGTCTTCTTGCTTAGGTTTAGTAACCCAAGCGGAAGAAGCCTTTAGTGCGCTTGATTTTATATTATTTGCATAATATAATATATAATATTAATGTAATACACAATCAATAATATATTATATTATATAAAATATAAATAAAATAAATCGATATATTTATGACTAATATATATATATATATATATATCTATATATATATATAATACAAATAACATCGATAAAATAGATATCGTTTGGGCTAAAAAAAGTTCCCAAATACAAGTTCCTATCTAAGCCATGGAACAAAAAAGTTATTATTTTTAAATAAAAAATGAGAAAGTTGAAGAATAAAAACTTTTTAATAACTTTCGAACCTTGTAGTACTTTATGTGTGTTAAACACGAGTTTGCTACAGTATTAAGGAGTTATTTGTTTTGAAGAAATAAGATTCCCCCAAACAACTGCTCTTTGAGGGTAAGGCCTTTAATAATTGAGTTGGTTAAAATGATATTCTACTCAAATATCTCTAACAATATGCCAAAAGATTTTTTACTCCAGCAAGAGTACAATGTCCATAAACTCCCTCAAGTAAAATCCAATTTTGGAGCAACTTTAGGACCTCAATCCATATACCAACTTCAATAACTAAATAAAAAACCAAATTCCACTCTCTATGCACTTTAAAAAAATGATGTCTTGAGATAAAACATAGACTATCCAATGTTACAAAAAGCAAAACTTGCATTTTTTTTTTTTTTTTTTAATAATTGGTAGTGATCGTAGGTAGTTCTCGAAATTTTAGTCGGAGAAAAAAAAATTTAAAGTAGGTCTTCTAACCAAGGAAGTAGATGTACAATTTACTCCCAATGGAGCATGGCATAATAGCTCCGAGAAGCTTGAACATGCAAAGACAATACGTTAATTTAGCCCTCTTATATTTTCAAAGTTTAGCAAACGGAATAAGGATTTATAATTAAAGAAGTGAGTTTCGAGTTGCTATCATTAAACAACCATGTGTATTTTCCATATTGCTAGTTTTAAATAAGTGTATATATGATTAGGAAGCCTGAACAAACAAAGACATTATGATAATTTAATCAATGGCCGAGGCAAAATAACAAAAATAGTCCTAGACTTTCAAGATCAACGACATGACAAATAAAAAAAGTGAGTCCCATTTTGCTAACCTTAAATGACCATGTGTATTTCAATTACATGTTAGTTATGGATGCTAACCTGAACAATAAATGTATTTTCATTATTTTGATTTAAGACGGTTAAATAAAGCTAAGTTACCAAAACATCATTACTTATTTAGAGTACTCAAATGTTGTATAAGGTAATTTACGGACTCAGTTTATATGAGTCCATGTTGAAATGAGTCACCTCTTAAAAATTTATTTTTGAAAAGGGTTTTTGGACCTAATTTTTAAAGACATGTAATCTCTAACATGGAGATCATGAATATGAAAAATTAAATAAATTTTAAAAATAAAAAATAATAATTATATTAAAAAATATTTGGACCTAAGTTGCAATTGTTTTTAGATGGACCACCTATTTGCATCCATCTTTAAGATGGATGCTTTCTATCTTGGGGACTACAAAAATAAAAATGCTACGCCCGCATGAAACAGGTTTCTTTTGATTAAATATTTTTTCATATTTTATAGAGATACTCAGTGAAATAAAATTTTAACATTAATAAAATGAGATGATTTGACTACCTTTTATAATTTTATAAAGTAGTTTGACCCTTAAATTGATATATAAACAAAAACTAGAAGGAAAGTTATTAAAAGTGAGAGAAAGCTTTTTATGCTCCCCCGACGTTCTATCCTCTCTTTTTATTCAACTGTCTATTTTTTAATGGAGGGTTAATATTGTTTCAATAACAATGTCATATCTCTATTCTATTTTTTTTTTAATTTATTTTTTTATAAATTATTTTGATACCAAATTTTGGAGGTCTATTTTTCTATTAAACTCGCACTAACGAAAAATATAAATAAATATTTTTAATAAAATAAAATGATCAAAATGCCTCCTGAAATTTTCAAAAAATATTTTGACCATTATTTTTTTATCAAAAAATTATTGTTAATATTTTTATAAGTGTGTCCCAATGAGAAGATGACATGTACCAAATTTCAAAACGGACGTCTTATCCACAGTATTTGTTCTTTTTCTCCTTTTTATTTTTTTTTTGGGACAATAACTACGGTATTTGTCCTTTTTTTTTTTGCTTTAGTTGTATGAATATTCTCTCTTCTCTCTCTTACTCTTTCTCTCTCTAAAAACACCACGTGCATGGAAGCCAAACATCACAGCTTATAGGAAAGATGTTTTTTTAGTGAAGCATATGATTGTGTTCACACAAATTTCCGAGAAGATTTCTAGTGAGAGAATCTCCCTCTCTCTCTAATTTCCACGAAGAATTTCCAGCAAAGGAATTCTCTCTTGAAATAGTATTGTCAAATATTATTGTGATGGCTTAAAAATTTATTTTTATATTTAATTGTAAATTTTAAAACTTCAAAATAATATATGATCAAGCATATCTATAAACATTTGAAAACCTTAAAAATTGACAGTCTAGATAAATGAATTATTTTTAAGAATTTGAAATCCATTTTTTTTATGTCCATGTATCTTAAGTTCAAGATGATAAGATTTGAGGATTTTTCGGTATTGAAACAATTTCTTCTAGTGAATTTTTGAGGAGCACGGCCTCAACCTTGTATAAACTTTTTTCATAAATAAATAGAAAAATATTTTAGATTGAAAGTTTAAAAAAGTTATTTCTCAAACTCAATGACACATCCCAAATCATTCAATTTGAAATTTAGTAGGTAAGAGTGAATGTTATATACAATCTGTAAATACTCTAGTATCTCAGGGTTAGTAGTCTTGGACCTTTTCAACCTCTTTTCTTCGTTAAGTTACACAGAGGGGGGAATGGGTCCTATATATATATATATATATATATATTGAATTAGTTATCAAATATTGAACTAGTTACCAAACATATGAAATTCATTACACATTAGTTTTCAAACAAACATAGAGACAAAAAAGTTTACAAAACATTTCATATAAAATATTTATATATTTCGAGTTTTTGTTTTCTTTTTTTATAATTTAGTGGGGAAGACAGCCTAAATTAGGAGTTGGTTTTTTTTCAAGTATTATTGGGGTGATGTTGGCGGTTATAACATTGTTCGCAAAATTGCGCGATCTAATCGCTATCCACCCGATTAGATCGGAACTGGCTAGTTTTTTAACGGTTAGGGTGATCAACCAGTATTTTTTTTAAAAAAAAAATCAAAACAATGTATATAAATTCTCAAAAATAAAGAATTTGATTTGTGATGTATTTTTAAATATTCTTTACATTATGGTAACGATTAATACTCACTTTTATATTTTTCCATCTTTTTTAAAAAATTTTAAAAATAGCAATTGGAAAATATAGAATGAGTGAAAATCTATTTTTTTCCAATAATTTTCAATTTCATTTGAATGTATTTTGTTTTAATCATTCTTTCTATACTTTTCATTTCGTAAACTTTTTTTATTTTTTTGACCGCCCAAGGCTTGTTCGATTAAAATGGTTGAATAAATCAGTTAACCGGTAAGACCAGTTAAAACGACAAACGTGGTGAGTAAGATATGGGGTGCTACCCCATAAACCCTATAAATGTGAGAATGAAGATGGGAAATAAAATAGCATAATTTCAAATACAGCAATGATTTTACAGGACCTTCTCTTATACATGTGCTTAGGGTAAAAAAGATTATCATTAAATTTGACATAAATCTATAAAAAAGTTAATTCCTACGCTTATACGTATGTGATAACTTTTATTTTTTAAATGCGTATCAACTTTAATAATAATCATTTAAGCTCCTATCTTATAAGATCATTACACTTCCAAATAACAGTCATCTTCTCCAATACTTCCATCTCTCTTTTCAATATTCAGATCTCTCTCTCTCTCATCAATACTCCTCTCTTTCTCTCTTCCTCTGTTTTACATTACAGTCAACACACTCTATTCACCACCCTCTCTCTCCTCTCTTTCTCTCTCTTCTTTACTCCTAAGAAACCGCACAGAACCTGCTTTCTCTCTATAAATTGCCATCCCCCATTTCAAACTCCACCACCCAAAGCCCAACCCAAACAAAAGCTCGAAAAACTTATAACAATGGCCGTAACAGAAGCCTTGCCTTCAAAACCAGAGACTCCCATCGAGAAAACCGAAACCTTTGCAGAGAAAACCGAAATCCTCTCTGAAAAGACCCCAACTTTTACCGGAAAGATGGTCGTAGACGAAGTTTCCGGCTGGCTCCAAATTTTTGACGACGGCTCGGTCGATCGCACATGGACTGGCCACTCGGCCGTACTCCCCCTCATATCTGAGATACCCCCCTCTCCTCCCTGCACCTTTGAGATCTTTACCGGAAAATACAACGCCCGACTCTACTTGCCGAAAAAATTTCCCGGCGGGGAAATTACGAAAGTGCCCCTCTTGCTCCACTTCCATGGAGGCGGCTTTTGCATAAGCCAGCCCGACTGGTACATGTACACGCAGTTCTATTCTCGGCTCTGTGACGCTGCCGGAGCAGCGATCTTGTCAGTGCGGATGAGGCGGGCGCCGGAGCACCGCCTCCCGGCCGCCATCGAAGATTGCTGTGAGGCGCTGAGATGGCTTGGCCGAGTGGCGGACGGCTTCGAAGCGGAGCCGTTGCTTCATGGGAACGTCGACTTCAATCGCATCTTCTTCATAGGTGAGGACGTAGGAGAGAGAGGGGGGGCGCTTGGGTTAGAGAGAGAGTGGGGAGCTTTGGTTAGAGAGAGAGTGAGAGATTGGGTACAGAGAGAGTGAAACTTTCATTGGAGAGAGAGAGAGACTTCTGTTTGATTTTCTCTGCTGAATTTCACACGGAGAGAGTAATCAACAATGAAGAGAGAGAGCCCTGGTTTATGGCTCTCTCTCTCTCTCTCTCTCTAGAAACCAAGGTTCTTCAAAAGCGAGAAACAGTGATATATTTGATTGGGTTTCTGCACACAACCGGAGAGAGAGGTTTGGTGATAAAACGTCCGTTACTTGCAGCCAGGAGAGGCAGAGTGGTTTCGTGAAAATAACATCTCGTTACTTACGGCGACACCCCTGGTTCCTGAATTTTGATTGAGAGATTCAACAGGGATAAAAGACGTTATGTGTAAGAGAGAGAGAGAGAGAGAGAGAGAGAGAGAGAGAGAGAGAGAGAGAGAGAGAGAGAGAGAGTAGAGAGTAGTAGTACGTAGTACGTACGTACGTACGTACGTACGTACGTACGTACGT